AATAAGTAACCAAAAAAAAATTTAACAAGTAAAGACACGATCAAAAGAGTACTAATTCCTAATTGATTCCACAACTACGACGTTGTCTAATCCCCGGCAACGGCGCCAAAAACTTGTTGGTCCTTTTATTGTAGGTCGCGATGACCACAAGCTTGGAGAAGCGTGCAATTTAGGTGAGGGCCAAGTTTTACATTTGTAAAAGCCACTACTACCTTTCACTATAAATATAGCTAGGGCGAGTAGGGATCGTCCCAAGGGATTAGAGTCAGAGTTGATTGTGGAATCGCTATTAGGGTTAGTAGGTCGAGTGATTAAACAATTGATTGGTTGGTTGATTAGATTAGAGAGCAACTAAATTAGACTAAGTAATTGAATGCAATAGAGAGTAAGTAAACGAGAGAGAAGAGTCTTGGGGTTTAGAGATCACCACCAAGCAATGCATTTCTATTTTATTGACAAGTGATTAATGAGGGCAATTAGGGTGTTGCAATATTGGTGTGTGTGTGTATTTAGTTGATTCAACAAGCAAGGATGACTAATTAAGCATACATTGTCTAACCAACATGTGAAAAGCACAATATATCTAGCAATTAAGTATATATTGTCTAAATAGCATATGAAAAGCACAACATATCTAGCAAATCATTGATCCTTTTCATTGAACGCACAACCATGCATAACACAAAATTAGAGACATATGCTACTTGCATTTAAAAGTATGGAGCATCAAACAACTAGCATGGATTGTCTTCCCATCTAATATTATACTATCACTAAACTACAATTAAGCCATTGAAATTAAACTAATTTAGCTAAGAAGAAGACACAATCCATCAAGATATGAGCATGAACCATCTAGAGAATCACAAGAACATTCCTTTAAGCACTATGTTTTGATAACCTCTAGATTTATGGCATCAATACACATAGACATGCATCAATAACACAAAATCTAGAAACAAGAACATGAACATCAATTTTAGCATACATAGACATATGAATAGAATGAAATGATCAATTGGAAGCCTTAAACCACACAAATCATTGAATAAATAAGATCTATATATATCAAAGTATCAAAACATTAATTACAACACTAATCCCTCAATAATACACAAGATTAAGATATAGAAAGTATGCTTGGGGCTAACTCTAGCCCCAAGAAGATGTCTAGCCACTCATGGTGAGGATGCTCCAACCCTTAAGGGTTAACTCCATGGAAGAGGTTTGCTCATTGTTGATGAAGATCTCCAATAGTGTCTCTAGCCTCTTCCTCCTCTAAACTTCCTCTCCAAGAGATGATATGAAAAATAATGTTGGCTCCCACTTGAAAAAGCAATCCTTATCCTTATATAGGTAGGTCAAAATGACACCCAAAATGAGCTGGTGTCGTGCACACAATATTCCCTAATGATTGGATAAAGGACAACTTTCAATGGGATGGAATTTTAACTTTTTCGCACTGGAGGTAGTTCGATCGATCAAAAGTAAGTGAGATCGATCGAACTTAGGCTGGATCGATCCAATTGGCTGAGCTTTTTGGAAAAAGACAAATTCAAGATATTTATAGGAAAAGGACAAAAGCGGTTGGTGGGAGGTACAGCTGTGGATGGGATCAATCATTTGGATAAGGACAAAGGTGTTCGATCGATCGAAGAATGATGTTGGATTGATCGAACTTTTGGACTTAAGTGCTTTGGGTCAAGGCTTGGATCTATCTTGAAGTGCTGAGATCGATTAATGTTCGATCGATCAAACCTTGGACTTGGATCGATCGAACTTGCTGCATTGCTTCATTTTACTTCTTTCTTCCTCCACTTTGCTCTTTTCTTTGTTTAATCTCATAATTGCTTCAATTAAGCTCTTATTTGGCTGAGTTAGCTTATTTTCGAGATAAGTGCCTGAAAATGGAAATAATACGAAATCAATCCAAAACGGTAAAGTAAGATAGATAAAGGTACTAGAATGTCTAAGCTTAAGGGGTTTAAATACGCACTTTTCAGTGCTCATCATGTACTCATAGAATTTTCTTCTGGTTGTTTTTCTCCAGTTTCAGGGTTTTTGGCCCGGTTGCCCCCGAACTTGTTCGGGGCATATCTCTTTGCTCGGTGCTCGGTTTTCGACATCGTTTTTTCCGTTGTTCATATTTTCTAATTTCAGTTCTTTTTTGTTCATGAAGTTTTGCCATTTGAGTGCGTCTACACGAATTCCACTTTTCTGGACCCGGCGGGGCCCTTTTGGGGCACTTTTAAGGTTTTACTATAAATAGAATGTCTTAAGGTGAAAAATCACTTTTTACATCTTCTTCCTCCCTCTTGGCCGGCAGCCATGGATAGGTGTGGCAAAAATCCCCAACCCGGTGGGGAACCGCCCCGCCCCCGCCCCCGCCCCATTTAAAGCGGGTTTGGAGAACCGTTTACTTAAATGGGGTGGAGATGAGGGGTAAAAAAAAACCGGTCGGTTGCGGGGGACTCAAATCCCCGCCCCGCATCCGCCCCGAAACCGGCCCCGATTAATATATTAAATTACTACTATACCCTTCCATGTTAATATATTTACAAAATTAACCTTCACTATATATATATATATATATATATATATATATATATATATATATATATATATATATATCTTGAAACCCTAGATTTCACTTTCAGTTTCAGACTTCACTTTCAAACGCTATATTCTGATAGTGAGGCGGCAGTGGGCACTGATAGATCTGAGTCATCTAACCATCGATTCTTCACAAAATCCCAATATCTGTGGTTTCTAAGTTGTCGAAGCTTATCCCAAAAGGTATTCCTCTAAGATTCCCTCAGATTTGTTACTCTTTTTAGGTCTTGGCTTCATAGATTGGTAATTTTTATACATAGAATTTATGTGTCTCTCCTTTTTTGGTTTGTATCTGTAATAAAGATTGAACTTACCTACATGGATTTGATGGGTTTGATTCAGTGTTTTCCACCTTTGTCTTCATCTAGCTGTTGCGTATTTCTTTCTCTCTCTATACACAGAGATCCAATAGTTCTATATTTTTTTATTTTTTTTTATTTTTTTTTATATTTTTATTTTTGTAAATATGTTTGCTTCTTCTTGTTGATATCTCTATCTAAAATAGTTTGACAGATTCGACAGAACATACCGTCTTCTTTTTTTTTTTTCCCGGTAAGTTGGGGTTTCTGAATATTGTTTCCATTTTATGAATTGATTTCCATTTTCTTTCTCAATCTATGACAACTTAGGGGTTTCTTTTTTTTATTTATTTTATGGCTGATTTTATTACTTTCAACTTCGCACAGACATACACACAAATAATGGAAAATCATAGTCTTAACTCTCAACTGTCGTGATGATTTATATTAATTGTTCATCGTGAGAGCACCTTCCCCATAGCAAAACTCATTCATATTATATATATATATATATATATATATATATATATATATATATCACAGAAGCACAAAATCTCTTCTACCTCTCAATGCATGGTGACATCTCCATAGAGATAATTTTGTAAAAAATGTGGCTATGGGTCATACGAAAAAGACTTTTGGCAAAACTTAGCTAAGTAACTGAAAGTGATGTTGCTAATGTATAAAATGATAGTGAAAAGATTAGAAGAATGGTAGATAGATAGGAGAGACAGTTTGGTTTGGGTTTTAATATGATTCACACTGGAGTTGTGGTTGTGGTTGTGGTTGAGTCAGTAACATGCATTGAATCCGGATTTTTTTTTCTCTCTTTTGCAAGGTGTATGGTACTACACATCACTGAAAAGTTGTGGTGTGTAGAAGTCACCAGAAATTGTAAAAGAATCATCAATTATAGACCCATAATCATTGTCAAGTTTTTTATACCAACTTCTCTTTCTTTTACAAAAATAAAAATTAGATTGATTCAAAATCTACAATAATAGTTCTTTTTATAGTAGTGTTCTTCATTGCTTAAAGTGATTTTTTTTTTTTTTTTTGGTTTACTTTCCAGTTATATATTCCACGTTCTTATATACTAATTCCTTTTTCATTTGTATTGTTTATTTATTTGTGTGTATGTCTGTGGGATTTTTATATCTTTCTACTACTTTTATATTTTGATTTGCATTTTTTTATATCTAAAAACAGTAAATTGCATTTTTTATATTTTGATCTGTGAGTTCTCAACCACCTTCAACAAATGTTAATGTAACTCCAGTTGTCTCCTCATCTAGTGTCCCTGATGAAGATGTACCAGATGATACAAATAGGAAGAGAAAATTGACATAACTTGTTTGGAATGACTTTACTAAGCAAACAATTAATCGTGTACAATTTGGTGTTTGCAACCATTATAAAAAAAAGTTGAAAGCACCGGCTAGTTATGGAATAAGTAGCTTGCGTGATCATTTATCAAGATGTAAGAAACATAAAAAAGATGGTGACTTGAGACAATATGTTCTGCAAGGCAATGTTAAAAAGAGTGAAGGTCAAATGAATCAAGTGGAATATTGTAATTTTGTGTTTGATCAAAATATCTCCCGACATGAGCTTGCTTTCATGATCATAGTGCATGAGTATCCCTTTGCCATGGTTAACCATTGTCGCTTTCGAAGTTTTGTTAATAGCCTTCAACCTATGTTTAACATGGTTTCTCGAAACACAATCAAGAGTGATATATTAAAAATCTACAATTTCGAGAAGGCTAAAACATTGGCATTTATGGAGAATCTTAAATGTAGGGTTGCCATCACTTCTGATATGTGGACTTATAACTACTCAAAGAAAGGTTTCATGGCAGTAACAACTCACTTTATCGATGACTCATAGAGATTGCAACGAAGAATTTTGAGGTAATTTTATTTTTATTTTTAATAAATTTATTGTTTATTTCATATAATGCAATTTTTTGTTTCACTCCATATATGTTTATTAATTATGCATATTTTTATTTTAATATGTTTTAGATTTACCAATGTACCTGCTCCACACAATAAGGAAGTTCTTTCTCAGTTTCTTATTGATACAATGTTAGATTGGAATTTTGATAGAAATGTGTCCACCATTACCTTAGATAATTGCATCACAAATGATGCCATCATTGATTCTAACTTAGACAAGGTTGATTCAAGTACATTTTTACTTGATGGGAAGATTCTTCACATGAGATGTTGTGCACACATCTTGAACTTGATTGTGAAAGATGGGTTAGAAGAAATGGGGGATGGAATTGAAAGGATACGTGATAGTGTGTATTTTTGGACTGCAACACCAAGTAGACATGAAAAATTTGAAGAGGCAGCTCGCCAATTGAAGATTCCATATAAGAAAAAGTTAGCCACGGATTGTAAAACCCGTTGGAACTCAGCATATCTTATGCTTCAAGTCGCTTTAATGTATAAAGATGTGTTTCCACCGGCAAAGCAACGCGATAGGCTTTACACTAATGTTCCAACTAATAAAGATTGGGAAAGGGGGAAAGAAATTTGTGCGAAGTTGAAATTATCCCACTCTGCTACAGAGTTGTTTTCAAGGTCTTCTTATCCTACTTCAAATTTTTATTTCCAAAAAGTTTGTGAAATCAAAATTGCATTGTCTACTTGGCTTGAAAGTCCACTTGAGATCATTAGAGTGATGGCATCAAAAATGTTAGTTAAATATGAGAAATATTGGAATGTTTGTCATGAGGTGATGGCGGTGGCGATGGTTTTAGATCCACGATACAAGATGAAGCTAGTTGAATATTATTTTAATAAAATTTATGGAAAAGAAGCATTGGTTGAAGTTCAAAGAGTTCAACAAATTTGTGTTGATTTACTTTTCGAGTACCAAAACAAGTCAAGCTCAAATAAAAGTATGGTAGGTGGTTCATCTTCCAATATTACTTCTCTTGATGAAGAAATGGAAGTTGCGGAGGATGATGATATGATGACTCGGTTATTTTCATTCCTTTTCTTTTTGTCATATTTTCACGGATATTTTTTTTCCGTTGATCCTTCCCTTTTTGAGTTCAATTTCTCGTCATTTAGTGTCGTCTCGAGTGCTTGGAAATGGTTTCTAAGACTCTTTCATTTGGATTGACAACTTCCTTTGAGGACCGAGTCATTTCCACATTTTTCGGTTTTTTGACACTATTCACTTTTCGTCATTTTCCCTATTCCATCATTTTCCTTATTTTGTCTTTTCCCCGTTTGTCACTTTATTTGCATAACCACACTTCTTGTGTTCGGAGTTGGTTTTTAACTTCACATATCTTCATTCTAAGTGGTTTCCACAAAATACATATCTTTACTTTTGTAAGAAAGTACTATGGTTGCTCCCGGTGTCCATAGAGGCATGGATGTATAGTTTTTTAGAATCTTTTTCTTTTTTTGGGGTATTTTTCGTAAATATCTTTTGAAGATATTTTATTTTAGGGGTTTTTAAGAAAATATTTTTGGAAGATATTTTCATTCTGGGGCATTAGTGCAGTTTTCACTTTTTGAAGGGGCCATTGTGCAATTAACGAAAGTTATTGCAAAAATACCTCGTCTGGAGCATGGATCCTCATACAGGATTCATTTTCACATTTCTTCGAATCATGTATTCTTAGAATTCCGTTTTGGTCGTTTTTCTCCACTTTCAGAGTTTCTGACCCCAGTTGTCGCCGAACTTGTTAGGGGCATATCTCTCTGCTCGGGACTCAGTTTTCGACACCGTTTCTTCCGTTGTTCATATTTTCTCATTTTGAATATTTTTTTGTTTATGGAGTTTCACCGTTTGAGCGCGTCTTCTCAAAATCCACTTTTCTGGACCTGGCGGGGCCCTTTTGGGGCTCTTTTTGAGATTTTCTATAAATAGGGGACTTAAAGAAGAAAAGTCAGATTGTGATAATCTTCCTCCCCGTCTTGGATGGCAGCCATGGGAGCTCCTTTGGCTGCCACCTTTTCTTCTTCTCCACCACTTGAATTCCTAAGTGAAAAGTCTTCGGCCTTCACATTTATTGTTGCCCTCGACGAGCTCTACCTTTTCCCCTTATTAAAATCCATTTCTGACCATTTCTTAAGCTCGGGTTTGAAGTCAAGTTGTGATTTTCATGGGGCTTCCTTCGGATTCTTGTTCATCGTGTTGTCCCCGACAAAACCCTTCGGTATCGTCGGATTCGGAGCACTTTTATTTCGGTGCGCTTTTGAGATTTTCATCTCAAATTGAGGTAGGGGATGTTTTAGGATTTTATATGTGTTGTATGGAGTGTTTTCCATGATTATACAACTTGTATGCATGCTTTTGTTTAAGTCCTAGAATTTAATTTAATTAATTTCTATGGTTAGAATTTAATTCTAATGATGATGTATAACTTAGAATTAAATTGTGGCATGCTAGAAAGTTTGGATTTAATATGTTTGTTAACATATATTAAATTAAAATTCATTGAATAAGAATTGCACTTTTTATTTAATATTTTTCTTTTGTGAAAGATTAATTTCCATGGTCATACCTTACATGAAATGAACTTGTAATATGCTTTTAAGCTAAGTCTTGGCATGTTCCTTAACATACTATAATTTGAGAGCATTTGGATAAGTATAAAAATCTAGAGATCTTAATTAACATACTAAACTAGCACATATTAATTTGGGACCATTTGATGTTTTAGAATTTAGGGATTTAATTATCATGTTTTAATTAAATTCTATCCTATTGATCCAATGAGCTAAGTAAGCTTTTGACTTGATTCATATAATGAATAAGTTATGTTATTAACATGTGTTAATTAGAGTTCATTTGATTGAGATATAAAACTTAGAGAAATTAATTAGGTTATATAATTAATTTTTATTTCTATTGCATTATTGATTAAATCATGTGTTTAACATTGATATTATGTTTGAAGTATGATTCTAAACTTGTAATGGATTTATGCGATTATGTTTCAATATTGAATTATATTATTATAGCATGTAACGAATCGCACACTAAAGATTTGACATGTGATGTTGTTATAGCGCGTAACGAATCGCGCTCTGAAGATTCGACATTTTTCATCCTATAATAGTTGTGGATTTAAAGCATGTATTGTGTGGTTCAGACCTACTTGTGCGTGAAGGTAGTCTTGTGTACCATTTTATACGTATATAAGTTGTTAACTTATTTATTTTAAAGTCACTTGGGACATGGTTACTATGATGTGGCTAGAATTTGGCTCTAGTGCGGGAGGTATGAGTTCTCCCCGTCGAGATAGTGTGCACTAAGGGTGGTATTACCAGCGGGTTAGTCCCCGTAATAGCCATTGAGGTCTCGGTAGAATTCTGAGCTTAGATGTCAAAGTGTTCCACTAATTGATTTCGCACTTTTAGATTTCTAGTTGATAACCTGGAGAATCTATGTCTTGATGTGTGGTATTAGATATTCTAATTATACTAAATTATTATATTTAGTTGATTTCGCATTTTTAGATTTCAAGTTAATAACTTTGAGAATCTGTATCTTGTTACTTGGTATAACATGCTACTATGTTGGTTAAATTACATAGATATTGTGATTCACGTTTTGTTGTTCAAATGTAGCTTAGGAATGATCCTATAGATTCATTTGGAACTTAGACGTTAGGTGGCATGACCCACTTTAGTTGATTTTGCACTTTTAGATTTCAAGTTCATAACTTTGAGAATCTATATCTTGATGCCTTGTATAACATGTTCTTATGTTATTGAAATTGTATGAGTGATATGATTTATGCTAGCAATGATCTAGGTAGTTTAGGATGCTCCCCGAGTCTCATCTTGGTATAGACGTTAGGTGGTATAAACCATTTAACATGTTTCACCTTAAGGTGATAAAATTGTAAAATGTAAGTCGATGCATGCTTATTTCCTACGAGTAGCATTATGTTGCTCACCCCAAAGTTACTGGGGCATATTTCAGGTACAGGATACAAGATTGGAGATTTGCACTTGCTTTGGTGATTTGCAGAATTGAAGTTTCTTTAGAAGCATTCTTGTTCACATGCAAGTGTTAGCATGTTTAAGTTTTTCCTATGAAATATAATTTTTCCAACTTAGAAGTTTGACATGTTAAATGTTGTAATTGAATTGTAATAAGGCCATAAGCCATTTCAGCATGTTTAAAATGTTGTTTTACACTTGCGTGTATGTTCACATCATCACACACTTGCATATAATTAAGTTTGATCATGCAATGAGGGATTCAAGTGAGGCTTAAAGTCTCTTTTTCAGTTTTGGTGTACGTGGTCTAGTTTGAACTAGATTTTGTCCCTTTGGTTGTCATTGGTGCCATAGGGTACCATTTGACCCTTTTCATGTTAGTTTTCACTTCCGGTTATTTCTTTGAGCTCTATGACTTTATGGAAGGTCACATTGGTGTCTTGGGGATGGTTTATATCTCTATAGACTATGGTTTTATCTTTCGCTTCTGCATTTCGGATCCGTTATTGGGTCAACTTTCGGTTCATCACTGATGCACCAGGTTGAAAAACTTGGGCCATCAAAAGTGGTATCAGAGCTCCTAGGTTTGAATACCTTGGACAATGGGTTTAGGTGCATATCATGCTTATGTTGCCATGCTCTATGTGTTTATATGCTTCTTGATAATATGTTGTGGTTTGATAACATGTTTATGTGCTTATGTGGTATATATAGTATGCAGTTTGTTTAAGCATTAATTCTTATATAAAGAGCATGACATGTGATGTATGCTAGATTTGATTTGTATATGCATAGTTGTTTTGCATATTTGGCAGGACTTGGGACTAGTCATGGGATGTTCGAGTTGAGGTTGAGCTGTTTGGTGAGTTTTCATTTAGTACGATGGTTGATGTGTTTGGTTTTGTTTAGGTACCCTTCCTTGAGGTTGTTGGTGATTCTCCATATAGTTTTATGGTAGTGTAGGTGGTGAGACACCTTTTGTTTCAGCTCTCGTGAGGTGAGTCATTTGGCGTTGCTGTAGTACAGGACTTGTTAGTTTTGAGCCATGATGAGGTTATGGGCCTCTTAGAATCCTTGGTTGTTCGAAATAATTCCTCTGGGATTGCAATTTTCGGGGGCGGGTACGTTTGTGGGCGGGTGCATGGCACTGTCATGCTACCGTACTGGCTAGCCACAAGTGCAGTTCGGATGGAATCGATATTGGTTTTGTTTTAATAGGCGTTGTCCTTTTGATCAATGATGGTGATGGTTGTTTTAGGGATCAGTCGTAGTGATTGAATTGGTTATTGATGGTATGGCTATAGTTACCATTTTCTTTGAGTTCTCCTTGCATGATGATGCTTTTGGGATTAAGTCGATTAATTGATGCTTCGGGTAGAGAGAGCATCGCACTGTTAGTGTCACTTGTAGTGTCACCTTTAGATTCAGAGATGGATTGTTAGAGTCTTACCATTGTGGTAAGGGCTCACATATGTTTTGAGACAGGTTGTTGTCGCATTGGTTTTTGGAGTCAGTTTATGGCTAGGATTGGTCTTTCCTTCTACCTAGACACTCTAGGACACAATGTCCATAGGGTTCATTGTTGCTTCATTTTTATCCTATGCAGTTTCGTTTACTACCATGTTAGTAGTAAGATTTATGTTATTGTGAGGCGTGAGTAGGTGGAGGTCTATCCACATTTGCCTTCCTATTGTGTGGCATTAGCATGCCTTCTTTATATACTTAGAGATGCCATGTTGTTATTATATTTTAGCGACCCGATTTTGTGCTTACGTGGAGACGTGTTGCATGTACCCTTGATTCTATCTATATGAGTAGATTTACCTTCTTGGTAGTTGCATTCCTTGTCATATGCATGACTTCCAAGTTCAATTTTCCCTTTTGTTTCCTTCGGTCGCACGTAGTGTGCATGCTGGTTTCCACGATGGTTTCATTATGAAATTCCTCGTAGTGGAGTTGTCACATTTGTTTTGTCTTGAGCTTTCCACTTCCCTAAGGTGGGGAGAATACTCCATTTTCGCGCTTGTCATATTGACACTTGTGGGAAGATAGGATTTTTTCTCTTTTCTTGGTTCAAGTAAGGACTTCACAAGGAGTGAGTCTCTTCTTTTCGTTACGTTGTGCACAGCTTTGGGGTTGGCTGGTCCGTAAGGACCACTATCGTTGTCTTGAGTCTTTGGTGAGGATTTGATGGATTTTGGTCGACTTACTTCTATGTAGGGGGTGAAGTCTTTGACCTTGTTGTCTTTTATTTCAGAGATGAAGTTGTGGTGTTGTCCTTCTTAGGACTGACGGTTCCTTTTCTTCGTGTCTTCCCTTGGGGAGTTTTGCCATGGTTGTTAACGGGTTGTGGTGCTCAGAGTGAGTGGATTGGTGTGAGATCATTTTTACGGGGACTTATGTCCATATCATTGAGGAATTTTTTGATTCGTGAGGTGAGCTCGATGCGCTTTTGAGGATGTCTTTTGGAAACTTGCCTTGGTTTTAGAGATCTAGATGTGGTTGACTCTTAGGAGAAGTTTTGGAGGATCGTTGTTGGATATGGCTTGTTTGTGGAGTTTTCTCGTCCTAGTTATGACTAGGCATAGTTTTGAGGAATTGTAGTTCCAGTAATTGTTTATGGATTGAAATTGAGGAATTTTGATTTAACTTGGTGTTGCCAAGTATGATTTTGAAAGAATCATTTGGTGATTTTGATTGTCGAGATATTGATGTGTGTGCCACGTGGTGGACTTGTATTTTGAGGATTTAGTTATCCATGATAGGAATGTGGATCCAATCTTTGAATTAAGGTGATTGGTCTCATAATTGATCTGTTTCAGGGAGATATGTAGGACTTTCGATGAAATGTCTTGTAATGAGGTTCATTTTGATTTTTGAAAGTTTTGACTTGTTTTTCAGGCTTAGGACTCTTGATTGATGTTGTTATGGAAGTATTTTAAGATGTTAAAGATGTTGGTTTTGTTGTATTAAGGATTTGGAGCCTTAAGCATAATGGTGCCTATGACATTGTTGTCAGAGTTTGGGATTGGCCAGGATGGTATGAAACGTCCTTGGACCATATTCCAACTCTCACAGATGCCTGGTTCCCATATTGCATTTGGTCATGATCATTTTTAACATTGATGTCATTTGTATCGAGAGGTTCATGGGTAGCCTTAGTGGGGGCAGGTTATGAACTAATGCCTTATACTGTCATGCTACCGCACAAAGTTGTGTGCTGTGGGTGAGTGCTAGTTGCCGTCGATACTACCTTACTGACGAGTAAGTGTAGGCAGGCACTAGGCACTGTCATTGCTACCACACATTTGAGTACGTTGTGGGCGGGTTCTGGTCGCTATTCGTACTGCCACGTTGTCTTGTTTTAGCACTTTAATTTGATCTGTGGTGATTTTGGAGTTCTTTTGGTGGTCGGTGTGATGGTTCATTTGGAGGGACGTTCACGATTGTTGTCTTCCGTTCCTTTGTCTGACCTTGAGTTCTGTGTGTGAGCTTCGACTTGTCGTGTGGCCATGTGGTCACTTTTCCTCTGAGAGGTTGTCTTGTTATGAGCACGTGTGTGCAAATGACACTGGTTTATATGTTCCTTTCAGCTTTGAGGTCGCTGGTGTGGCGTGTTGTGTGGGGTACTCGGAGATGTACTCCGTAGTTATCCTGGTTTCGCCTTTTGTTTTATTTGGGGCTGGATTTCGAGGACGAAATCCCTTTAAGGTGGGAAGGTTGTGATGACCCGGTCATTTTCATTTCTTTTCCTTTTCTCAGATTTTCACGGATATTTTTTTTTCCGTTGATCTTTCACTTTTTGAGTTCAGTTTCTCGTCATTTAGTGTCATCTCGATTGCTCGGAAATGGTTTCTGAGACTTTTTCATTTGGATTGACAACTTCCTTTGAGGACCGAGTCATTTCCACATTTTTCGTTTTTCGACACTATTCACTTTTCGTCATTTTCCCTATTCCGTCATTTTCCCTATTTTGTCTTTTCCCCGTTTGTCACTTTGTTTACATAACCACACTTCTTGTGTTCAGAGTTGGTTTTTGACTTCACATATCTTCATTCTAAGTGGTTTCAACGAAATACGTATCTTTACTTTTGTAAGAAAGTACTCTGGTTGCTCCCGGTGTCCATAGGGGCATGGATGCATAGTTTTTTAGAATATTTTTCTTTTCTTGGGGTGTTTTTCATAAATATCTTTTGAAGATATTTTATTTCAGGGTTTTTTAAGAAAATATTTTTGGAAGATATTTTCATTCTAGGACATTAGTGCAATTTTCACTTTTTGGAGGGGCCATTGTGCAATTAACGAAAGTTATTGCAAAAATACCTCGTATGGAGCGTGGATCCTTGTACGGGATTCATTTTCACATTTCGTCAAATCATGTACTCTTAGAATTCCGTTCTGGCCGTTTTTCTCCAGTTTTAGAGTTTCTGACCCCGGTTGCTGCCGAACTTGTTCGGGGCTTATCTCTCTGCTCGGGACTCAGTTTTTGACGTTATTTCTTCTGTTGTTTATGTTTTCCCATTTTGAATCTTTTTTGTTCACAGAGTTTCACCGTTTGAGCGCGTCTACTCAAAATCCACTTTTCTGTACCCGGCGGGGCCTTTTTGGGGCATTTTTTGATATTTTCTATAAATAGGGGACTTAAAGAAGAAAAATCAAATTTTTATAATCTTCCTCCCCCTCTTGGCCGGCAGCCATGGGAGCTCCTTGAGTTGCCACCTTTTCTTCTTCTCCTCCACTTGATTTCCTTAGTGAAAAGTCTTCGGCCTTCACGTATATTGTTCCCCTCGACGAGTTCTACCTTTTCCCCTTATTAGAATCCATTTTTGACCATTTCTTAAGTTTGGGTTTGAAGTCAAGTTGTGATTTTCATGGGGCTTCCTTAGGATTCTTGTTCATCGTGTTGTCCTTGACAAAACCCTTCGGTATCGTCGGATTCGGAGCACTTTTATTTCGGTGGACTTTTGAGATTTTCATCTCAAATTGAGGTAGGGGATGTTTTAGGATTTTATATGTGTTGTATGGAGTGTTTTCCATAATTATACAACTTGTATGCATGCTTTTGTTTAAGTCCTAGAATTTAATTTAATTAATTTTTATGGTTAGAATTTAATTCTGATGATGATTTATAACTTGGAATTAAATTGTGGCATGCTAAAAAGTTTGGATTTAATATGTTTGTTAACATATATTAAATTGAAATTAATTGAATAAGAATTGTACTTTTTCTTTAATATTTTTCTTTTGTAAAAGATTAATTTCCATGGTCATACCTTACATGAAATGAACTTATAATATGCTTTTAAATTAAGTCTTGGCATGTTCCTTAACATACTATAATTTGAGAGCATTTGGATAAGTATAAAAATCTAGAAATCTTAATTAAAATGATAAATTAAAATCTATTTAAAGGTTCCATTGGTTTAATTAAGTTTTTGACTTGATAATTGTGAGGACTAAGACTTGTATACTAGCACATATTAATTTGGGACCATTTGATGTTGTTTTAGAATTTAGGGATTTAATTATCACGTTTTAATTAAATTATATCCTATTGATCTAATGACCTAAGTAAGCTTTTAACTTGATTCATGTAATGAATAAGTTATGTTATTGACATGTGTTAATTAGGGTTCATTTGATTGAGATATGAAACTTAGAGAAATTAATTAAGTTATATAATTAATTTCTATTTCTATTGCATTATTGATTAAATCATGTGTTTAACATTGATATTATGTTTGAAGCATGATTCTAGGCTTGTAATGGATTTATGCGATTATGTTTCAATATTGAATTATATTGTTATAGCGTGTAACGAATCGCACACTGAAGATTCGACATGTGATGTTATTATAGCACGTAACGAATCGCGCTCTGAAGATTCGACATTCGTCATCCTATAGTAGTTGTGGATTTAGAGCATGTATTGTGTGGTTCCAACCTACTTGTGCATGAAGGTAGTTTTGTGTACCATTTTATACGTGTATAAGTTGTTAACTTATTTATTTTGGAGTCACTTGGGACATGGTTACTATGATGTGGCTAGAGTTTGGCTCTAGTGCGGGAGGTATGAGTTATCCCCGTCGAGATAGTGCGCACTAGGGGTAGTATTACCAGCGGGTTAGTCCCCGTAATAGCCATTGAGGTCTCGGTAGAATTCTGAGCTTAGATGTCCAAGTGTTCCACTAATTGATTTCGCACTTTTAAATTTCTAGTTGATAACCTAGAGAATCTATGTCTTGATGTATGGTATTAGATATTCTAATTATACTAAATTGCTATATTTAGTTGATTTCGCACTTTTAGATTTCAAGTTGATAACTTTGAGAATCTATATCTTGTTGCTTGGTATAACATGCTTTTATGTTGGTTAAATTGCATAGATATTGTGATTCGCGTTTTGTTGTTCAAATGTAGCTTAGGAATGATCCTATAGATTCATTTGGAATATAGATGTTAAGTGGCATGACCCACTTTAGTTGATTTCGCACTTTTAGATTTCAAGTTCATAACTTTGAGAATCTATATCTTGATGCCTTGTATAACATGGCCAAAATTGTTTCTCAGGACGAATTCACTCAACCCGAACATCCTCATTGCATTAAGAGACCCAGAATGTGGCGATGCATATGGCTACAACTCGGGTAAGTTTGAGATACAACTCGGGCTCAATTTGACATGTAAAATGTTTAATCTTAATTCAACCCTAACTCGATCTCAAACCCTAACTACCTAACCCGAGCCCAATCTATCTTTAAAATTGGGTTGTTTATGGTCAATTTCCACGCTGAAACTTGATGTAATCTTGAGTTAGTTTTAGATTAAATTAGTCCAAAAATAAAAATTTAGGATAATTTATAGTGGCATTCCTTGAAGTTTATTACACAGAAGTAGAGCTTTGACCTTTATTACTTGACCTCTCCTGAGATTTGGCGTGTGTGCTCAATGACACCCTGCCGTTAATACAAATTCAAAAAATAACTAAGTTGCTCTTTCATCGTGTTAAAAGATTTCAATAACTTTATATTTTGACATGAACGGACAAAAATACCATGAAATGGCATTGATTTTTTTTTTTTTTTCTAGTTATATTATTATTATTAAATTTTATAATATATATATATATATATATATATATATATATATATATATATATATATATATATATATATATATATATATATATATATGTATGCTAACCACATTTGATTAGGTTTCTTTTTTGGGTTTGATTGGGTTTCTTTTTTTCAAAAAAAAAAAAATTAAGTAGGGTAATATAGTGTTTACAAGATAGGGAAGGGAAAAAAAAAAAAAAAAAGGGTAATAGAGCCTTTTTGGTTTAACAATTTTTATTATTATTATGAAATTAGATAAGGATATAAAAGGTATTTCATACTTTTAGAAGAGGTCAAAGTAATAAAAGTCAAAACACTTTATTAGTGTGTAATTTCTTCAAACCTTAGGCCCAATCCTGCGAAAAATTAATTCCGCCGCCCAGACTCAAACCAGGGACTCTGGTGAGAGAGCCGAATAACCAATTTTTTCGGCTACAGTGGATTTTTGATCTCTCCCTTTCATTTTTTTATTCAATAATTAATTTCTTTTTAGAGTTTATTCGAATATTCCTCCACTAGAATTATTGTTGAATATCACATAATTATTTCTTATTTTCACTGCATTTATGTACAATTGTACATGTACACTTCAGATTCATCATAAACATTTATTTGAAAAAGAAATAAAAAGGTTGAAAACATTTATATGTTGCACTGTGGGGACACAAAATTGAGTCATCTAGAGCCAAATGAACATAATGTCAAATACTATAATGGATATTTTATATATTGCGAGGTTGATCTACGTTACAAATTTAAGAATAAAGCTAAAAATAAAAGAATGTGGCATTCAAAAAAGAAGTTAATATCCAAACCTTGTTCATATGATGTAGTCATGGTTTGAAATATTCAATCAAATTTTAATGAGCATAAATTTAATTAAAAATTCCTTATATATTTTAGTCTACTAGTCAAAGTGTACGTGCATCTGAAGCAAGTAGAAAAAGAATAATTTGTCACTAAATTGAAAAAATATATACATTTTTATATGTCTTTCTTACATCTATCCTAACAAAATACAAAAAGAAAAATGAGGTCCACCATATTAATTAATAAAAAATCAAAAAATAATCATAATAGTTAACGCTAGGAATGACGATTAAGTGAACTGGACCTTTAACATTGTTGAGCAAATAAAATGAAGTGTTAGTTCCCACGAAAACAACAACATGCAATGGTAAAATTGTTGCAATGAATTGAAAGTCTACAACATATTAATATTTGTATTGGTTCCCACAAAAATAGTAGCATGCAATGGTAAAATTGTTGCAATGAAGTGAAAGTCTACAACATATTAATATTTGTATTTTTAAATAATGTTTGGAACCAAATGAATATAATTTGTGCCCCTTCGTATTATAAGGATATCTCTTGGTGTGCTAAATATAATGACACACTTATTGATTCACTTACTTATTCATAATTAAAAATTTAAAATTGGATGATGAAAATCTTTGCGAAAAATTATATTTATATTAACACAAATAATAAATAATAACATACTGCACAAATAAAAATAATTAAACGAAATGAAATGAAATGAATAAGATAATTAGTAAACCTTTTTGATACTAAGAGAAAAAAATTACTTTCTTTTTTCAAGGAAATTTGACTTGACCTATTTAATACAAATATTTTATAATTAAGATGTGAAAAATGCAATGAGAATGAATTTTGGTTTCATCAAGCATATTTTCAACAAAGAAAAACTAAATTAAATAAAATATGTTTAAAGACAATTCATAAACTAATTTGATTCGCAAATTTCACAATGGTTATAATTGCGAGAAAAGTAAAAAAATTTATTGAATGTAAATGAATTTGTAAATTCAAAATAAATATATAAAAATATAATTTTATTGACCAAATAAATATAGACATGTACAAATCTAAAATATATATATATATATAAATTAAGTTGTCCGACAACGGATTATATCTAACAATGCAACCCAAATTCCAAACAACATCCAAAGGCCGATAAATGTGTTTTCACCAAATTTATTTTAGTGACAATGTGAATAGATTATGAAGAAATGATTAAAAATAAAAGAGACACAATGAAAAAAAAAAAAAACAGATGCTCCATCTCTTTGTATTCAAAGATTACAAAATAAGCACTTTTTCATCTCTTTGTATTCAAAGGTTACAAAATAGGCAAAACAAAGTGCTTACTTGGTATTGTATTGTAATTTAATGAAAATTCTAGAATCGAAAAATAAAATAAAAATCATAACAACTCAAAGATTACAAAAGATGCGCAACTAAGTGCTTAACTTTTATTGTATTGCAATTCAATGAAATTCCTAAAAATAACACCATTTAAACTTAATTTGCATTGGATTAACATTTAACAATTTTGAAAATTTTATTATAAAGATCTAAAAATTTTGCATAACTATATATTATATGTTCCAAAGAAAGAAAAAAAAAAAGACAAAAAAGAAAAAAAAAAAGAAAAAAAGAAAAAGAAAAACCAAGGCACTTTATTGGATTCGATTATGTTTAATTTATTGATTATTTTTAGGGTTAAGTGAAAAAAAAAAAAAAAAAAAAACCCTATCATTAAATACAAAATGTGCAATTACCCCCTATTGTTCGAAAAACCCCCCTATTTTTTTCAATTTGTGCAAATAAGGACAAGTCATAATTTTGGCAGTAAAATATCAAAATTATCCTTAAATTCATATATGATTTTCCTTTTCCGCCTACCTGAACTTAACAAAACTCTATATAATTATATATATATACACACACCCACACACACACTTTCTCTCTCTTTGATATATCTCTCTTCAATCTCAATTCTCATGTCTCACAATCTTTCTAATATATGTTCACTTTATTCACACACCCATCAGCCTTATCTTTTATTCGATAACTATATATAAATCCAACTATTTATAAACCCACATAAATGAAAATACTCCTAGAATTAATTCAAATTTTCTAATATTGTATTGATGTGGCCTCCTCTAACTAAAAGAAATAATTTTTATTATCTAATTTTCCTTCTATTATTCATATATCACTTTTTTATGATTTCTATACAGTAATTTTGTAACTGATTCTTAAATTTTTCTCTTGATATTTTTGAAGAAATTGGAATTGAATTGCTGATTTTTTGGAGCAGAGAAATACAATCAACGACAAAGAGAAATTTTTGAGTTATAGAAAGAGAGTTATAGGAGTGGAAAGAAAATATATAAAATTTATAGAATTAGAAAAGAATATTTGCAAGAAAGATTATGTTTATATATATATATATATATATATATATATATATATATATATTTAAATAAATAATATTCTAAAAAATTAAAAATGATGTATAAATTCCATAATCTTTCTTGATAAACTAAATGAAATAAAGTATCATAAAAAAAATTAAAAAATTAAAAAGGATGTCTTCTTGGTAACATATTGCTAAACGGCAACTACGAAATATTTTAGAAAGAAAAAAACATATATTAGAGAGAGATTTTCATGGACAGGCTTTCAGCTACATCCAAACAAACCCATTCACGGTTCAAATATATACAAAATGGGAAGTTGGCAGCAAAATGGAAGACCAAAGAAAGGATATAGAAAGGATAAAGGATTTGCACCCACACAATACAGGACAATACACGATTTCTGCAAAGAGAAAACATCTTCCAACGCATTCTTAGAAGACAAATCCCACGTGAAATGAATGATGAGGAAGTTGGAAGCAAAATGGAAGACGAAAGAAAGGATATAGAAAGGATAAAGGATTTGCTCCCACACAATACACTGACACAATACACGACACAGTACATGACAATACACGATTAAGCCCAAGAGTGGAGAAAACAGCCGGACTGATATAGACCTGTTCAGACACGACAGTAATCTACAATAATTCGTAAATCTCGACTAATTATTATCAGTATAAAACCACAGTGCTATCCTGAAATTTTAACAGGCATAGCATTATCCAATATATGTTCATAATTTGCATAGTATACCGATGCATATTTCCCTTTTTTTTTTGCAAAGAAAGGAATGAGATGAGTGATTAAGAACTTAGTACATTAGAATCTTCTATTTTTATATCTATCTATACTATTTTAAAAGTGTAAGGAATTTTTTTTAACATATTTGAATAATTTATTTATTTTTTAATAAAAAATATCATTAAAGTATCTAATGATCCATATCTCATTAAAGCACTTAATGATTCCTTCTATCTTATTCTTATATAACAATTGTATTATTAATGAACCGTGAACGGGTTTGTTTGGATGTAGCTGAAGGCCTATCCATGAAAATCTCTCTCTAATATATTTTTTCTCTTTCTAAAATATTTCTTGGTTGCCATTTAGCAATCTGTTACCAAGAAGACATCCTTTTTATTATTATTATTTTTTTTATGATACTTTATTTCATTTAGTTTGTCAAGAAAGATTCTGGAATTTATACATCATTTTTAATTTTTTAGAATATTATTTATTTATATATATATATATATATATATATATATATATATATTTAAAGAATATTTATAGGAATGGAAGGAAAATATATATAATTTATAGAATTAGAAAAGAATATTTGCAAGAAAATAATTTATAGAATTAGAAAATAATTTATAGAATTAGAAAAGAATATATATGTTTATATATATATATATATATAAACATAATATTTCTTGCAAATATTCTTTTCTAATTCTATAAATTATATATATTTTCCTTCCATTCCTATAACTCTTTTTCTATAAGAAAATATATTATATTTTCTCTAAAATTCCTCTGTGTCATTGATTGTATGAATGGAAGGTTGCTTGACCCGCTCCAAAAAACCAGCAATCCAATTCCAATTTCTTCAAAAATGTCAAGAGAAAAAAATTAAGAATTAGTTGTTAGACATGTGTATTTATAACACGTGTATAGCCTATATTGCCACAATACATTCATATTCTGATCCACTATGTCTGACATAACAGTTTATGTTTCGGGAAGTTACAGCAGTGTGGTTGTGGGAAGTTGAAGGTGGTCACGATTTTGATTAGAATAAAACCATTGGGTTTGCATGATGTATTGCTCTCTCTCTTGTTTTATTCATATAGTATCCTTGCAGAGGTCCTATGCCTAACAAAAGCAGTTTGTGTTATCTCCATCAAGTACACACATAAAGTTTTGTATAAGCGTGAACATCATTAGGATTTCTCACTTTGTTTTGCAGGCATTAACCAATCTGATTTCATGGCTTGAGGTAATGCGATCTCTTTGGGCTTGATAGTTTCTTTCTTTTGGTATCAGAGCCATACCTTTTGGCTATGTTATCCTTCGGTTTATATGTCTGTAATATTTGTTTAGCGACTGTGTTGCCGTTCTTTTTTCTAGCCTGTAATATTTGTTTAGCGGCTACGTTGTCTTTTTGGCCTGTAATATTTCCTTTGTGTTCTGTTTATTCTGTATTATTTTTGGTGGGTGTGTTTCTGTCTGTAATACTTTTCTGGTATTGCTTTATTGTTTTGGTTATTTGGCCGGTAAAGTGTTTAGGTTACAGAATGAAGTAATAATGAAATAGTACACCCAAACAGGCTGCGATGAATAAAGTATTCAGACTCGAGCGGTTTAACGACTGCTTTAAATATGGGAGAATGTCATCATAAAACCATAAAGAATTGTTTTATGATGATTTTTTAGTTATGCAGTATACTATGGAGTTGTATAGTTTTGTAAATTTCTATACAAATGAAGGATACTCTAGAGTTGTACAGTTATTGCATATTAAATCTTTTTTTATCCAGTATACTCTCATACATGTAGTATGAGTATGATTGTTATTTTAATGCATATTTTTAACCAGAGAGTAGCCACATCATCTTTAGTTGTTTGGTTCTCTGATATAAAATAAAGTTTTAATATATGATATTTATATCACATAAAGTTTATGCATTAAAAGGTTATAGTTCATTCATAAAAAATGTTTTATTCTGCCCTACAGGAAAATAATCATTGTTTATGAATAAATGTGAATAAAAATGATTTTGGAATTAAACTAACAATGAATACAAATGCCCACAGGAGTGTATCATTATCAGTTTAATATCATTAAAGAATATTTTATCCCATTATGGTTATATTTTTAAAATATTATTGTTTTAAAACTTTTACCCATAGGAAGGTTATAATAACACATTGTTTTGATATGAAGTTTTTTAAGCGGGTTAAATTTTTTTCAATAAAGTTTATGTGTATAGTAAAGTAATGTTTGGCATGTTTTCTTTTTATAGCAATTCCATCTGGTTCTGTCAATATTGGTTCATCTCATATCCCATTTTTAACTGGTGATAATTATTCGGATTGGAAGGAGAAAATCCTTCTAACATTGGGGTGCATGGACATTGATTTGGCACTTCGTGTGGATGAACCACCCATCCCCACGGAATCAAGTAAGCCAAGTGAAAAAGGCTCTTATGAGAGGTGGGAGTGATCAAATCGCTTAAGTTTGTGTCTTATTAAAAGTCATGTTGGAAAAAGCATAAGGAGTTCAATTCCTGAATGCACTAAGGCAAAAGAATACATGGCAGCAATTGAACAACAGTTTATAAGTTTCGATAAAGCATTGGCTAGCACCTTAATGACTAAATTATCATCAATGAAGCATATGGGTGATAAAGGGGTCTGTGAACATATTATGAAAATGAGAGCTATAGCTGCCGAAATGAATTCATTGGAGTTCACATTTTCAGAGACATTCCTTGTCCAATTCATACTCAATTCCCTGTCTGCTGAATATGGGCAATTCAAGATTTCTTATAACACACATAAGGAAAAATGGTCAGTTAATGAATTGCTTATCATGTGTGTTCAAGGATAGGGGAGATTGAATCAGGAGAAGCTAGAAAGTGCTCATCTAGCGACTCATGGAAAGTGACATATTAAGAAAAAAAGTGTGCAATTTAAGAAGAATGAGAATGCGTCAACTAACAAGGTTAGCAATAAGGGTACCATCAAATGCTTTTTCTGCAAAAAGAAATGGCACATGAAAAAGGAATGCCCTAAGTATAAGGTTTGGCTGCTTAAAAAGGGTAATCTCTTTTCCTTTATGTGTTATGAATCAAATGTAGTTAATACATTTAATGATACTTGGTGGATTGATTCTGGTTCTACAATTCACATTGCCAATACCATGCAAGGTTCAATCAACCTAAACATAGATGGGTTACAAGTTCACAGTTTGAGTTGATGTTATAGAATAACGATGAATAGTAGAAATTTTCGGGGTCACTTATATATGTATATTTATACGGATTAAGTAAGGATTGATTTGCTGAACGATGATAGTGTTTAGCAATTTCTTGCTGAGCTTGTGAGCTCACCTCTTTATTACTTTCAGGTGCACATGGATTTGGCTTGCAAAGGAGGTTCAATGGGAGATGGAGATTTTCCGGATTTCCACATTTTGATTTTATTATTATGTCATAGCAAACACTTTGTAATAAGATTCATTTAGTTGGTGAAATTTTAATTAGTTGGGGGATGTAATAAATTTCCTTTGGATTGATGGATTTATAAATTAAATGTATTCTTATTGATTTAATTATGGTTTTTGGAGGATGTATGATGTGAGTCACACACCAAATTTTAGTATAAGACAATAGTTCTTGTGTTAGAATTTTTTGGGCGTGACATGTTGAAAGGGGACCGATGATAGTGGGCATTTAATTTTTTAATTTAATTTTATTGACACGGACAAATCTCACATAATAACACTTTTAAAAAATTATTATCCCTATGACTTTTTCATAACACCATAAAAAATGAATTGATTATTGCCGCATGTGTTTTATGGAGTTTGAGGCTTGGCCGGAGACTCTTTGTTGGGTTTATTGATCAACGTCGGTGATGATCTATCGATGATATATCCACCTTAAGGCTCTCTTAGTATCCTTTGACCTTTTGACCTTTAAAGCTCTATGTGATTTTTTGTTTGTTTTGCCCAACCCCCAAATATATTAAGTTTATTAACCCACTCTGATCTTATATACCCAAAAACCAATGAATTGAAACAGTGCACTTTAAACCCATGTCCGCAGGGCCCGCCCTAAAACTTTTAAAATTTTGAAAGGTTTTAGGTGATTTAAAATAAATGTGATCATCTTGCATTTTTAGCTGTAAAATCGTCAATTAAAGTACTCCAATTAGGTTTCTCTAACATATCATCAATTGTAGATAAGATTTAATCAACTTTAATTTTAAAAAGCTTCTCTCAGCAAATGTAATTATAACTGAGATAATGGTTTCTATTCATTTCACGTGGGATTTGTCTTCTAGATACATGAATCTATATAAACAGAGAATATTGGGTACCCTCACTAACAGAGATTTTTGTTTTTTTGGCTTATCAATACAATTTTTTTTTTTTTTTGACTCATGAGGGTGATTTTTGTATTTTTGGCCTATCAATGCAATTTGTATTTTTGGCTCATAATAACATTATTTCATTAGCACTTTAAATTAAATTTCTAGTATAAACAAGTATAATACCAGGACTTAAATTTTCAGTGTAAATAGTGTTATTAAGTATAGGAATGTAATGTCTTTAAGTTTTCATATTATGTTGATATCAATCATTGAGGATCTGAGACACACCATGGTTTTGCATAACTTAAATCACAACAAAATTTAGTTGTGTTTATAAAAAATCCAACAATTTTAAGTATAACACCTGGATTAACAATTTTAAGAAAATCAAACAAGATTAATATCATCTTCCTCTTCCTTGATTTTTGACATGCATTTACTTATTTTTCAGTGATGAATTAGGTGAATATATATATATATATATAAATTTTCGGAAATCATGTGACATAGAATTTTTTTGTTTTTTTGAAAAAAAAAAAAAAAATTGTTCTAAAATTAAAGTTAAAAAAGGGAAGGAAAAAAAAAAGGTTGTGAATAAACATGAACGCCATCTGCAAATCAATAAGCTTGGAATTTATATGTATTGTTGATGATGGATTCTGCGCAACCCAGATCTGATCTAACTTCCTGAACAAATAGAAGAAAAAGTGACCCTACAGGCACCGGTGTGTTGTCGGTGGAGTAGGCTCCGACGAATAAGTCAGGATACAAAATAATCTCTCTGGAGAAATCAAGAAACTGAGTTGGAATTTATTGCATACCTTAAAACATCGATTAGCCTATTTATTTATAGGGCTTAGGTTAGGATGTAACATAAGGCTTAATCCTTATCGTAATCTGTAGAGCCTATCTCAATCTTATGAGATAGTGCGTCAATTTAACAACCTTCCTCTATCCGTGGGTATTTAAATTATACATCTATCATGTATGACGCAAAGTAAATCAATACACTTGGCATATACATACCATCATATGAAATTATGATCAAATTTCTTAAAAATCAATAGACAATTACTAGAAATTTTTTTGGCCTACCATCACTAGAATTCCAAATATTAGAATGTATAAACAGTAAAAATAAATGAAAGAAATTTTTTTTTTTGTAAGACTGGTCATCAGATCCTGCAATTAAACACACAAGATGATAATAGAAGGTGTTGCGGCGATGTTTACATATCTGTTGAAATCCACGTGCCACCGCGCGCACACGCGCCACTTGAAGTTCTGTGCATGGTATATCGCACTCTCACACGTCTATGCTTGTCTGAGAAGTGCTTGTGCGTAGATCTAAGCCTCCTCTCCTACGCGTCAGACGTGTCTGTCGTCGCTCAAAAAATGCTCGATTCCTCCACTGACGGAATCACCATGAACCATCATTACCATATATCCTCGTTGTGCTTATGGGTTTTAGTCTAGTCATCATCATCAGCATTCACATTGCCTGACCACCATCCTCTTCAGACATCGAAAAGCCCATCAAAATAGTCCGTCGCAATGGCTGACTCACCGCCCTTTCAAGCCGCCATCGTCGTCTCAGAAGTGCTTTATAAAATTTTAGTTAGGGTAATAAGGAGAGAGAAAGAAAGTGGGATGGAGGCTGAATTAGGTTTCAATCTTTATTTTAAAATTTAAAATAAGTTTTTATTTATTTATTTATTTTAACGAAGTTGACGACGTCTCTGTTAGAGCATCTGCACCGCACTTAGCTAAAGCCCATTTTTGGCGATTTGCAGGCCCAAATGTAGTGCAACGGGCTAGCGGAAATGGGTGGGGCCCATATCAGCCTGCGGAATACCACGAGCCCAAGCTTGATCGTGATTTTTTTTTTTTTTCCTTTTGCAAAAAGGCGACTTTTTGCGTGAACGTATTTTTTTTTTTTTTTTTCAAATCCAAAAATAAGTTATTTTGAGCTCATTTATTTAAAAATAAATAAAATAAAATTCATTAAATAAAAAATATATTGTTTAGGCACTGTTTGTTTAAAAAAAATTATTTGGGCTAAAAATAAATTTAAAAACTTTTTTTTCCCTTAAAATTTGTTTTTTTTTTTTTTTTTTTTTTTAATTTAAAAAATTGCTTTAAATTTAAATTTTCTGCCACAAATAATGCATTTGGCCGTTAAGGCACTGTTTAGCTGACACAAATAGTGCCTTAACGGCTATAATTTTTTTAAAAAAATGTTTAAAAATTCAATTTTATAAAACTTTTTTTTTTTAAAAAAAACAATTAAAATTAAAAATTCATTTACTTATTACCATAGGATTTTGTATTCCTTATTTTCTTATTCCAATTCGTTATTTTTAATCTTAAAAAATCATTACATAATAAAAATTCTAGTACACGAAATGTCATAACATCCTAAAAGCAAACAAAATGCAACATAAATTAAACATCTTCATCACCATAGCGGTTCCACAAATTTTCCATCAAATCATTTCTCAACTGCGCATTTGTCTCTCTATTGCGAATCTGAAGTTGGTGAGAGAATATGTACACCGCTAAAACTGATGGGCATTGACTTAAAGTGGGAATCGGGATTGCATCTTCCAGTGGTACACTCCATCTTCCAACATTTGCATGACGCTCATCTTCAACGATCATATTGTGAAGGATGATGCACGTTTTCATTATGAGGTACAAGTTATCTTTCTCCTAGTAACGCACTGGTCCTTGCGTTATTGCCCACTTGAGTTGTAATACCCCAAAAGCCCGTTCCACATCTTTCCTATATGCCTCTTGTCACTGAGCAAATAATTTTTCTTTTCCAGTTGTTGGGTACGGGATGATCTGCATCAAAGTTTCCCACTTAGGGTATATATTATCAGATAGGTAATACCCCATTCTATAGTGATGTCCAGTCACTATATAATTAACCAGAGGTAATTGGCCATTGACGATACCGTTGAATACAGGGGAATGATCCAACACATTTATATCATTATGTGAACCCGTTATTCCAAAGAATACATGCCAGATTCACAAATCTTGTGAGACAACTGCTTCTAATATGAGAGTATTCTTACTAAAGCGTCCCCTATGTGTGTCGTGCCACTCCACTGGGCAATT